AAATCTTACGCGAGCCGAGCGCTAATTTGTTTGAACAAAATTTGGTAAAAATGAACATGTTTTCTGTGTGGAATGTGGAAAAGGCCATTTTTGTTGTGCATGTGAAACCCATGAAAATGTTCAAACGTAAAAGATGGAAATTGTGTATTTGTATTCGGTATTGATTTGGACTATTGGTAACGGAATAGGATTACGGAACTTTGTTAATACATAAATATCCCATATTGTAACTTCTACTTAAGATGTGTACATGATAACTTACTCTATTTTGGCTCCTTCTATTTGTTTTGTAATTGTTTGTACTCCTGCACACACAATCAAGGGGCCGGTGTGTAGGAGCCAAAATGTACCTTTCCCTAGCCACAGGGTGCCGCTGTGGGCGTTATGTGACCTGAGCCCATTCTCCTATAAAAAGGGCAGAATTAGAGGGCACAGGTGCTGCTAGGTTTGGAGGTATACCGTTTCTTACCGTGTCAATTACTGTGGAATGTATTATGTTATTTGGATTAATGGTCATAGGGGCCAATAAAGAAACCTCTAATACACTATTTGGACTGAGGTTTGTGGAGACACGCGTTTGGGAAACCCTTAAAATCTTAGCAGCCAAGAGGCGATCTACAGACAACATCTTCGCCTCTACAATAAGTAAGAAACAACCTCAGGTTCCCAACAAGTGGGGCCTCGACTGTTGCTGTAGCCTAGGACAGCACTGTGCGGGGTTACTGAAGGATCTGGAGTAACGCGCGCACGTGCAGTGGAGGGCCCGGCTGGACCACACGCAGCGGATCGTGATCAGGAGTGGAAGGACGCCAGTGACAGCGGTGTTTGGAACGGGGGCAGTTGGAGCTTCAAGACGGGAGCGCGCGCCGCCGTGCGCGTTATTGGAGGAGCGCATCAAAGAGGTTCGTGGATGTAGAGCCACGCGTGTATACAAGAACTGAATGAGATTTGCTATGATCTGACTATGAATGGACATGCAAATATGAACCCTAATAACGATGTGTGTGGACTGAGACGCGCTGACAAAAGACGCAGCGGAAAATCTTCTGCTTACATAAAGGCAGAGGCTGAGCGAGCGGCTCTGCTGGTCAAAGCGTCTTTTATGAAACAAAAACATGAGATTGAAGAACAACAGAGACTAGTCAAACAGCAGCTTGAAATGCTTGAAATTGAAACTCAAATTGCTGCTGCTAATGCGGAGTTGGACGTCCTAAAATCTGCAAAAAAGTTTACATCAAAATGTGTGATGTCGTCTCGCGCAGCTGTGTCACCGCCACGCCAATCAACGATGAAGCCAGAGTCTCCGTGCTTCCAAACAGGGGCCGGGGTACGTGATTGGACACTTCCGAAATGTGTTGATCGTATGATGGAGCTTAAATCATATTCAGATCCTATCAAAGAACTGTTTGAATCTTTGATATGGTCTCCACCTTGCCTTGTTCCTGATTTTCATGCAGTCACAGCTGAAGCAAAAGAGACTGAAAACTATGAGCGTGTGGATGAGGTGAGAGACTGCACACCTCTAGCTCTGGCACCACCAGGGGGCTCTCAAAGTTGTCCACCAAAAGACACTAGCACAAAGGAGGCTACTGGCGTCCTGGTCACTATTGGAGAGTATGTGACTGTGGCAATTGAGAGGTCAAGACTCAATGTAAAGGTTCAAAAATGTAGTGTACAAACTAAAATCTTACGCGAGCCGAGCGCTAATTTGTTTGAACAAAATTTGGTAAAAATGAACATGTTTTCTGTGTGGAATGTGGAAAAGGCCATTTTTGTTGTGCATGTGAAACCCATGAAAATGTTCAAACGTAAAAGATGGAAATTGTGTATTTGTATTCGGTATTGATTTGGACTATTGGTAACGGAATAGGATTACGGAACTTTGTTAATACATAAATATCCCATATTGTAACTTCTACTTAAGATGTGTACATGATAACTTACTCTATTTTGGCTCCTTCTATTTGTTTTGTAATTGTTTGTACTCCTGCACACACAATCAAGGGGCCGGTGTGTAGGAGCCAAAATGTACCTTTCCCTAGCCACAGGGTGCCGCTGTGGGCGTTATGTGACCTGAGCCCATTCTCCTATAAAAAGGGCAGAATTAGAGGGCACAGGTGCTGCTAGGTTTGGAGGTATACCGTTTTCTTACCGTGTCAATTACTGTGGAATGTATTATGTTATTTGGATTAATGGTCATAGGGGCCAATAAAGAAACCTCTAATACACTATTTGGACTGAGGTTTGTGGAGACACGCGTTTGGGAAACCCTTAAAATCTTAGCAGCCAAGAGGCGATCTACAGACAACATCTTCGCCTCTACAATAAGTAAGAAACAACCTCAGGTTCCCAACAAGTGGGGCCTCGACTGTTGCTGTAGCCTAGGACAGCACTGTGCGGGGTTACTGAAGGATCTGGAGTAACGCGCGCACGTGCAGTGGAGGGCCCGGCTGGACCACACGCAGCGGATCGTGATCAGGAGTGGAAGGACGCCAGTGACAGCGGTGTTTGGAACGGGGGCAGTTGGAGCTTCAAGACGGGAGCGCGCGCCGCCGTGCGCGTTATTGGAGGAGCGCATCAAAGAGGTTCGTGGATGTAGAGCCACGCGTGTATACAAGAACTGAATGAGATTTGCTATGATCTGACTATGAATGGACATGCAAATATGAACCCTAATAACGATGTGTGTGGACTGAGACGCGCTGACAAAAGACGCAGCGGAAAATCTTCTGCTTACATAAAGGCAGAGGCTGAGCGAGCGGCTCTGCTGGTCAAAGCGTCTTTTATGAAACAAAAACATGAGATTGAAGAACAACAGAGACTAGTCAAACAGCAGCTTGAAATGCTTGAAATTGAAACTCAAATTGCTGCTGCTAATGCGGAGTTGGACGTCCTAAAATCTGCAAAAAAGTTTACATCAAAATGTGTGATGTCGTCTCGCGCAGCTGTGTCACCGCCACGCCAATCAACGATGAAGCCAGAGTCTCCGTGCTTCCAAACAGGGGCCGGGGTACGTGATTGGACACTTCCGAAATGTGTTGATCGTATGATGGAGCTTAAATCATATTCAGATCCTATCAAAGAACTGTTTGAATCTTTGATATGGTCTCCACCTTGCCTTGTTCCTGATTTTCATGCAGTCACAGCTGAAGCAAAAGAGACTGAAAACTATGAGCGTGTGGATGAGGTGAGAGACTGCACACCTCTAGCTCTGGCACCACCAGGGGGCTCTCAAAGTTGTCCACCAAAAGACACTAGCACAAAGGAGGCTACTGGCGTCCTGGTCACTATTGGAGAGTATGTGACTGTGGCAATTGAGAGGTCAAGACTCAATGTAAAGGTTCAAAAATGTAGTGTACAAACTAAAATCTTACGCGAGCCGAGCGCTAATTTGTTTGAACAAAATTTGGTAAAAATGAACATGTTTTCTGTGTGGAATGTGGAAAAGGCCATTTTTGTTGTGCATGTGAAACCCATGAAAATGTTCAAACGTAAAAGATGGAAATTGTGTATTTGTATTCGGTATTGATTTGGACTATTGGTAACGGAATAGGATTACGGAACTTTGTTAATACATAAATATCCCATATTGTAACTTCTACTTAAGATGTGTACATGATAACTTACTCTATTTTGGCTCCTTCTATTTGTTTTGTAATTGTTTGTACTCCTGCACACACAATCAAGGGGCCGGTGTGTAGGAGCCAAAATGTACCTTTCCCTAGCCACAGGGTGCCGCTGTGGGCGTTATGTGACCTGAGCCCATTCTCCTATAAAAAGGGCAGAATTAGAGGGCACAGGTGCTGCTAGGTTTGGAGGTATACCGTTTCTTACCGTGTCAATTACTGTGGAATGTATTATGTTATTTGGATTAATGGTCATAGGGGCCAATAAAGAAACCTCTAATACACTATTTGGACTGAGGTTTGTGGAGACACGCGTTTGGGAAACCCTTAAAATCTTAGCAGCCAAGAGGCGATCTACAGACAACATCTTCGCCTCTACAATAAGTAAGAAACAACCTCAGGTTCCCAACAAGTGGGGCCTCGACTGTTGCTGTAGCCTAGGACAGCACTGTGCGGGGTTACTGAAGGATCTGGAGTAACGCGCGCACGTGCAGTGGAGGGCCCGGCTGGACCACACGCAGCGGATCGTGATCAGGAGTGGAAGGACGCCAGTGACAGCGGTGTTTGGAACGGGGGCAGTTGGAGCTTCAAGACGGGAGCGCGCGCCGCCGTGCGCGTTATTGGAGGAGCGCATCAAAGAGGTTCGTGGATGTAGAGCCACGCGTGTATACAAGAACTGAATGAGATTTGCTATGATCTGACTATGAATGGACATGCAAATATGAACCCTAATAACGATGTGTGTGGACTGAGACGCGCTGACAAAAGACGCAGCGGAAAATCTTCTGCTTACATAAAGGCAGAGGCTGAGCGAGCGGCTCTGCTGGTCAAAGCGTCTTTTATGAAACAAAAACATGAGATTGAAGAACAACAGAGACTAGTCAAACAGCAGCTTGAAATGCTTGAAATTGAAACTCAAATTGCTGCTGCTAATGCGGAGTTGGACGTCCTAAAATCTGCAAAAAAGTTTACATCAAAATGTGTGATGTCGTCTCGCGCAGCTGTGTCACCGCCACGCCAATCAACGATGAAGCCAGAGTCTCCGTGCTTCCAAACAGGGGCCGGGGTACGTGATTGGACACTTCCGAAATGTGTTGATCGTATGATGGAGCTTAAATCATATTCAGATCCTATCAAAGAACTGTTTGAATCTTTGATATGGTCTCCACCTTGCCTTGTTCCTGATTTTCATGCAGTCACAGCTGAAGCAAAAGAGACTGAAAACTATGAGCGTGTGGATGAGGTGAGAGACTGCACACCTCTAGCTCTGGCACCACCAGGGGCTCTCAAAGTTGTCCACCAAAAGACACTAGCACAAAGGAGGCTACTGGCGTCCTGGTCACTATTGGAGAGTATGTGACTGTGGCAATTGAGAGGTCAAGACTCAATGTAAAGGTTCAAAAATGTAGTGTACAAACTAAAATCTTACGCGAGCCGAGCGCTAATTTGTTTGAACAAAATTTGGTAAAAATGAACATGTTTTCTGTGTGGAATGTGGAAAAGGCCATTTTTGTTGTGCATGTGAAACCCATGAAAATGTTCAAACGTAAAAGATGGAAATTGTGTATTTGTATTCGGTATTGATTTGGACTATTGGTAACGGAATAGGATTACGGAACTTTGTTAATACATAAATATCCCATATTGTAACTTCTACTTAAGATGTGTACATGATAACTTACTCTATTTTGGCTCCTTCTATTTGTTTTGTAATTGTTTGTACTCCTGCACACACAATCAAGGGGCCGGTGTGTAGGAGCCAAAATGTACCTTTCCCTAGCCACAGGGTGCCGCTGTGGGCGTTATGTGACCTGAGCCCATTCTCCTATAAAAAGGGCAGAATTAGAGGGCACAGGTGCTGCTAGGTTTGGAGGTATACCGTTTCTTACCGTGTCAATTACTGTGGAATGTATTATGTTATTTGGATTAATGGTCATAGGGGCCAATAAAGAAACCTCTAATACACTATTTGGACTGAGGTTTGTGGAGACACGCGTTTGGGAAACCCTTAAAATCTTAGCAGCCAAGAGGCGATCTACAGACAACATCTTCGCCTCTACAATAAGTAAGAAACAACCTCAGGTTCCCAACAAGTGGGGCCTCGACTGTTGCTGTAGCCTAGGACAGCACTGTGCGGGGTTACTGAAGGATCTGGAGTAACGCGCGCACGTGCAGTGGAGGGCCCGGCTGGACCACACGCAGCGGATCGTGATCAGGAGTGGAAGGACGCCAGTGACAGCGGTGTTTGGAACGGGGGCAGTTGGAGCTTCAAGACGGGAGCGCGCGCCGCCGTGCGCGTTATTGGAGGAGCGCATCAAAGAGGTTCGTGGATGTAGAGCCACGCGTGTATACAAGAACTGAATGAGATTTGCTATGATCTGACTATGAATGGACATGCAAATATGAACCCTAATAACGATGTGTGTGGACTGAGACGCGCTGACAAAAGACGCAGCGGAAAATCTTCTGCTTACATAAAGGCAGAGGCTGAGCGAGCGGCTCTGCTGGTCAAAGCGTCTTTTATGAAACAAAAACATGAGATTGAAGAACAACAGAGACTAGTCAAACAGCAGCTTGAAATGCTTGAAATTGAAACTCAAATTGCTGCTGCTAATGCGGAGTTGGACGTCCTAAAATCTGCAAAAAAGTTTACATCAAAATGTGTGATGTCGTCTCGCGCAGCTGTGTCACCGCCACGCCAATCAACGATGAAGCCAGAGTCTCCGTGCTTCCAAACAGGGGCCGGGGTACGTGATTGGACACTTCCGAAATGTGTTGATCGTATGATGGAGCTTAAATCATATTCAGATCCTATCAAAGAACTGTTTGAATCTTTGATATGGTCTCCACCTTGCCTTGTTCCTGATTTTCATGCAGTCACAGCTGAAGCAAAAGAGACTGAAAACTATGAGCGTGTGGATGAGGTGAGAGACTGCACACCTCTAGCTCTGGCACCACCAGGGGGCTCTCAAAGTTGTCCACCAAAAGACACTAGCACAAAGGAGGCTACTGGCGTCCTGGTCACTATTGGAGAGTATGTGACTGTGGCAATTGAGAGGTCAAGACTCAATGTAAAGGTTCAAAAATGTAGTGTACAAACTAAAATCTTACGCGAGCCGAGCGCTAATTTGTTTGAACAAAATTTGGTAAAAATGAACATGTTTTCTGTGTGGAATGTGGAAAAGGCCATTTTTGTTGTGCATGTGAAACCCATGAAAATGTTCAAACGTAAAAGATGGAAATTGTGTATTTGTATTCGGTATTGATTTGGACTATTGGTAACGGAATAGGATTACGGAACTTTGTTAATACATAAATATCCCATATTGTAACTTCTACTTAAGATGTGTACATGATAACTTACTCTATTTTGGCTCCTTCTATTTGTTTTGTAATTGTTTGTACTCCTGCACACACAATCAAGGGGCCGGTGTGTAGGAGCCAAAATGTACCTTTCCCTAGCCACAGGGTGCCGCTGTGGGCGTTATGTGACCTGAGCCCATTCTCCTATAAAAAGGGCAGAATTAGAGGGCACAGGTGCTGCTAGGTTTGGAGGTATACCGTTTCTTACCGTGTCAATTACTGTGGAATGTATTATGTTATTTGGATTAATGGTCATAGGGGCCAATAAAGAAACCTCTAATACACTATTTGGACTGAGGTTTGTGGAGACACGCGTTTGGGAAACCCTTAAAATCTTAGCAGCCAAGAGGCGATCTACAGACAACATCTTCGCCTCTACAGTGTCTTTACCAATACTTTTTAGGTATTTGTGAAGTATGTTCATGTCCCACTTGGTTTTCCTAATCCTGTTTTTACCTTTCTGGTCGGTAACAAAGTTGTCAATCTCTTCTTGACTGTTAGGGTTAGGGTTTCGCCGTTATTTGCCGTTATTACTTCCTCTGGCTCTTTGAAATCGTCCGGATAATAGAATTCAACTGGAGAATACTCCCAGTCGTCGCTCATTTTTTCATTTTTTACCGAGGAAAGACATCAAATCTGATTCGCGCTGCGGACCGATTGTCATGGTAACGGTCCGAGATGGGAAAATATCAGACCGCAAATCAGCCAATCAGAGCGCACGTACGATCCAAGTCATAAAATAATATTATATACAATATTTTCATACAAAATGAAATGATGAAAAAAATGTTATAACAATTCCTTGTTTGTTGCTCACTAATTTTCTGGCAATAACGTAAAAGGGGCCATATGTGGAGGAGCTATTTAGAAAAATACATTACAATTAAACACACAAACATGAAATAGGTAACGTTTATTTGTATGACGCTGTTCACAGACCAGGAAAGTACGATACATCAACAAGTACAATGTTGATGTATCAGTACCATAAAGTGAGATATCTTCTTGAACATAATTGAATAATGAATGGCTGGTTGTGGTGCTCTTCTTCCCTTACGGCAAAATGCATACAGTAACTATGGATTGACACGCCATGGCACAGTGCTATAAATATCCAGCTTTAACTAACACTGTACACTGTGATGGGATTTAGCTGTTCAGTGACCCAATAAAAACAATCGGTAACACTTTACATTACGGGCCGGTAAGTCCATGGTACTTACAGTGGTACTTCTAGGTACTTACAGTGGTACTTCTAGGTACTTACAGTGGTACTTACGGTGGTACTTACGGTGGTACTTACGGTGGTACTTACGGTGGTACTTACGGTGGTACTTACGGTGGTACTTACGGTGGTACTTACAGTGGTACTTACAGTGGTACTTCTAGGTACTTACAGTGGTACTTCTAGGTACTTACGGTGGTACTTACGGTGGTACTTACGGTGGTACTTACAGTGGTACTTACAGTGGTACTTACGGTGGTACTTACGGTGGTACTTACGGTGGTACTTACGGTGGTACTTACAGTGGTACTTACAGTGGTACTTACGGTGGTACTTACGGTGGTACTTACGGTGGTACTTACGGTGGTACTTACGGTGGTACTTACAGTGGTACTTACAGTGGTACTTACGGTGGTACTTATGGTGGTACTTACGGTGGTACTTACGGTGGTACTTACAGTGGTACTTACAGTGGTACTTACAGTGGTACTTCTAGGTACTTACAGTGGTACTTCTAGGTACTTACGGTGGTACTTACGGTGGTACTTACAGTGGTACTTACGGTGGTACTTACGGTGGTACTTACGGTGGTACTTACGGTGGTACTTACGGTGGTACTTACAGTGGTACTTACGGTGGTACTTACGGTGGTACTTACGGTGGTACTTACGGTGGTACTTACGGTGGTACTTACGGTGGTACTTACGGTGGTACTTACAGGGGTACTTACGGTGGTACTTACGGTGGTACTTACGGTGGTACTTACAGTGGTACTTACAGTGGTACTTACAGTGGTACTTACAGTGGTACTTCTAGGTACTTCTAGGTACTTATTGTGGTACTTACAGTGGTACTTCTAGGTACTTACAGTGGTACTTAGAGGTACTTATTGTGGTACTTACAGTGGTACTTCTAGGTACTTATTGTGATAATTCTAGATACAGCTGTAACTTAGTAATTCAAGGACACTACAGTATTATTCCTATGTAGTAAATGTGGTACTTCTACATACATACATACAGAGGTCATTTGTAGGATTGTTTGACTATAAAACATAAAACAACATTATGTAAAACAAACGTCTTTATTAATATGGAATAAGTAGCACAGAAAGGACAGTATAAATACATTTAATGCATATTTCAAAACAAGTTTCAAGGACAAGGGAAACACTGCAAGAACTAGGTACCCAACCCAAGTAACAAGAATTACACATTACCAGGTACTTACCAGCCAAGTACCAGGTACTTACCAGCAAGTACCAGGTACTTACCAGCAAGTACCAGGTACTTAACAGCAAGTACCAGGTACTTAACAGCAAGTACCAGGTACTTACCATAGGGACTGGCCCATAATAAGACAAAGGACTTTAACATAAGTACCAGCGATAACACCAGTAATTATACAGTAAGTACCAGGTACTTACCATAGGGACTGGCCCATAATAAGACAAAGGACTTTAACATAAGTACCAGTGATAACACCAGTAATTATATAGTAAGTACCAGGTACTTACCATAGGAACTGGCCCATAATAAGACAAAGGACTTACCCATAAGTACTAGTGATACCAGTAATTATATAGTATACCATGTACTTACCAGCAAGTACCATGTACTTACCAGCAAGTACCAGGTACTTACCATAGGGACTGGCCCATAATAAGACAAAGGACTTTAACATAAGTACCAGTGATAACACCAGTAATTATACAGTAAGTACCAGGTACTTACCATAGGGACTGGCCCATAATAAGACAAAGGACTTTAACATAAGTACCAGTGATAACACCAGTAATTATATAGTAAGTACCAGGTACTTACCATAGGAACTGGCCCATAATAAGACAAAGGACTTACCCATAAGTACTAGTGATACCAGTAATTATATAGTATACCATGTACTTACCAGCAAGTACCAGGTACTTACCAGCAAGTACCAGGTACTTACCAGCAAGTACCAGGTACTTACCAGCAAGTACCAGGTACTTACCAGCAAGTACCAGGTACTTAACAGCAAGTACCAGGTACTTACCAGCAAGTACCAGGTACTTGCTGGTAAGTACATGGTATACTATATAATTACTGGTATCACTAGTACTTATGGGTAAGTCCTTTGTCTTATTATGGGCCAGTTCCTATGGTAAGTACCTGGTACTTACTATATAATTACTGGTGATATCACTGGTACTTATGTTAAAGTCCTTTGTCTTATTATGGGCCAGTCCCTATGGTAAGTACCTGGTACTTACTGTATAATTACTGGTGTTATCACTGGTACTTATGTTAAAGTCCTTTGTCTTATTATGGGCCAGTCCCTATGGTAAGTACCTGGTACTTGCTGGTAAGTACCTGGTACTTGCTGTTAAGTACCTGGTACTTGCTGGTAAGTACCTGGTACTTGCTGGTAAGTACCTGGTACTTGCTGTTAAGTACTGGTACTGCTGTTAGTACTGGTACTTGCTGTTAAGTACCTGGTACTTGCTGGTAAGTACCTGGTACTTGCTGGTAAGTACCTGGTACTTGCTGGTAAGTACCTGGTACTTGCTGGTAAGTACCTGGTACTTGGCTGGTAAGTACCTGGTACTTGCTGGTAAGTACCTGGTACTTGCTGGTAAGTACATGGTACTTGCTGGTAAGTACATGGTATACTATATATATTACTGGTATCACTAGTACTTATGGGTAAGTCCTTTGTCTTATTATGGGCCAGTTCCTATGGTAAGTACCTGGTACTTACTATATAATT